CTCTGCCCCAGTCTGCTGTATGACCTTGGTTAGGTTCTTCAACCTCTCGGTGCCTGACATTCCACATCCATAAAACAAGGCTTAAAAAGAGAACCCATGTTCTAGGGTTGTTGGGAGGATTAAATGAGTGATGAACCAAATGCTTATAGCACAGTGCCCGGCACACAGGAAGGGTGCAATAAACAAAACCTTTTACCTTCCTGCTTCTTCAATAACATCGGCAGAGAACGACTGGCATGGAAGGCACATTATTACAGCCATCACCTTTGCTCCTGGTGCCTGGCACACAGTCGGCATTTAGTGGGTTTTCACTGAATGAATGAATGAATGGCCCAAGTGCTTCCCAGGCTTTTGTTCAAGGAGGGAAACTAGAATGGCAATCAGAAATAAGGCTTAAATGTCACGAGGACTAGCCCAGTAAACCCATCAATTTAGCATTCTATTAACAAGATCGACGTGTTACAGACATCCACCGTATGTGTTCATAATAACGATCCTTAGACATTGTATAAATCCTCTTGTGTTTTAGGAATTTTCAATGGTTAAATTACATTCAAAGCAGTTTTAAAATTAAGTATATATTACTGCATTCAAACGCTTTAAAAATTGGAAATCCATGTAGAGCAAAAATGGCAACAATGAATTAACTGGAATATTCTGATTGATTGCAACACTTAGTTCACACTTCTCTACCCACACGCTGTTGTATCCGTCTACGTTCTCTATTTCTCACTAGACTGTGAACGCCTCTTATGTCTAGCACTTTAGTATCCACTGTGCCGGGGATATAATCATGGTCAGGACATACTTGCCAATAACAGCCACTGTGCTCCATGAGCACACCACAGTAAAACGTTTAGCCTGGGAACATATTCCTTTGGTGTACCTACATCTCCATAAAACAATCAAAACCTCATGTCTTTAAGATTTTTAAATATAAATTTCAACATTTAAAAATACAGTACATTCTAAATCATTTCTTTAAAACTCTAAAATTTAAATGATGTGACAGAATCTATGTCCCTTTTAATTTAGATTTCCAACAAAGTCCAATAAAAACTGTTAATTTTCTTACAATAAACTATTAAAGGCTCATACTGCTGTCTGGAAGATTGACATCATACTATTGTACTGTGAAATACAGTACTTGCTCAAATATTGTACTTGCTCAAAGACAAGGAAGTAGGAAGAAGAAAAGATGGGAGTACGTGAAGAAAAGGAAGATTAAAAAGCAATCTCTGATTCCTCCTCTTACACATTATGAAAATATTAGGCCCAGGAGTCTGCTCTGTACTCATGTCAGAAAGAAAACTAAGTCAAAAAGACCAGCTCATCATCTCCTGGACTCTTACGCCAATGCCAGGGAAAATGGCCGGTGTGCTGGGGCGAAAGGTGGGTGCACGGCAGGTGGAGTCTGAACATAAGGTGGTGCCCCTTCAGTCAGTGCCCCAGCCTCCTGTCACATTCCATGGCGGCTCTTAACTCCTACTGTCTAAGAGAGTCCACTCCAAAGCTGTGCCCCCTACCTTAGTACTAGAAGTGCAGCAGGGAATAAAATCTTAGCAAGAGGATCTTGACTTTAAAGGAGAGAGTTCAGGGGCGCCTGGGTGGCTCAGTCGGTTGAGTGTCCGGCTTCGGCTCAGGTCATGATCTCGCGGTTCGTGAGTTCGAGCCCCGCGTCAGGCTCTGTTCTGACAGCTCAGAGCCTGGAGCCTGCTTTGGAATCTGTGTCCCCCTCTCTCTCCGCCCCACCCCTGCTTGTGCTCTGTCTCTGTCTTTCAAAAATGAATAAACATAAAAAAAAAAAATTTAAAGGAGAGAGTTCAAGCATGCCTTGGTTGGCTCAATTGTTAAGCATCAGACGCTTGATCTCAGCTCAGGTCATGATCTCATGGTTTGTGAGTTCGAGCCCCGCATCAGGCTCTGTACTGATGGCACAGAGCCTGCTTGGGATTCTGTCTCTCCTTCTCTCTGCACTCTCTCTCAAGATAAATAAATTAAAGGGGCACCTGGGCGGCTCAGTCGGTTAAGCGTCCAACTTCGGCTCAGGTCATGATCTCTCACACTCTGTGAGTTCGAGCTGCTGACAGCTCAGAGCCTGGAGCCCGCTTCAGATTCTGTGTCTTCCCCTCTCTCTGCCCCTCTCCTCCTCATGCTCTGTGTCTGTCTCAAAAATAAATAAAAATATTTTTAAAAAACTTAAAAAAAAATAAATTTAAAAAATATTTAAAGGAGGGAGTTCAGTTTTCATCCCAGCAGTAGGGAGGTTGCGTGTTTGTATTAAAGTGGAGATGCCAAAGACAAACTCTCAATCTCTCACACAGCTTTTTCTGGGGTCTGTACCATTGTCCTGCAGGGAAGATTGTGTGTGGGGGGAAGGTTTTTAGAAAAGTACACTCTGGTATTCACTTTGCCCCAAGGGCAGAATTCCCCTGAAAGAGGGACCAGGACTCATCATACCGTGTTGGGCAGGAAATGGTTCTGTAAAATGGACATTATCTACTTAAGAGAACTATTTCTGAGGATTAAATGAGGTATTTTAGGTACTTAACACACTGCCAGGCACATAAGGGCATGATGTTTACTCTTATTTCACTGATAAGTACCAAAGATGATGAAAATAAGCTTCAAAGAAAATTTGTTCACAGACCATTGGGAACAACTGCAACTCTGCTAAACTCTTTTAGGGCTGCTTATGATACAACAGAGCAAAAATGGTTTTCTTTTTTAAGATCGCTTCCTTAGAAGTTACTGTGGCAACATGTAATTTCAAATCTTTCCAATGCCCAGCAACCAAAATATACTTATTACATTTTGTCAGTTAAAACATCCCTTAAGTGTGTGTACTAGCTGAGTTTAAGTCATCTATTAAACACGGCCTTCCTGTGTTGTTTTGTTTGTTTATTTTTGAGAGAGAGAGAGCAGAGTGTGAGCAGGGGAGGGGCAGAGAGAAGGAGACACAGAATCCGAAGCAGGCTCCAGGCTCCGAGCTGTGAGCACAGAGCCCGACACGGAGCCTGAACCCACAAACTGTGAGATCATGACCTGAGCTGAAGTCAGATGCTTAACCGACTGAGCCACCCAAGTGCCCCCTGTGCTCTTATGATGTGGTATCTTACCAGATGTATATATATCTCTTATTAGCCTTCCTGTCTCTCAATCTCCCAGTGGTTGTAAGGGCTTAGGATTCCTACTTCCTGATTTTTGACTGTCAAAAGCATGTTTATAGAGCAAGAGAGTCCTGAAATAAAAAAATGAACCCAGGGAGAGTCTCCTCCATTATCAGTAGCCACATTTCAGTATTAAAGCAATTAAAAAAAACTAATCACAAATGGTACCAGTCTGCTGCCTAGATTAGCTATAGCACTGAACAGATGACAAGTGTTTAAGAGATGCAAGCAGATACAGACAGGTGTGATGAGGTAAAAGGTAACTAAGATAAGCTAAGGAAACCAGTTTTGCAGAAATACCAAAGCATAGCTTCAGATGAGACTCAACTCTTGCCTGGAAGCTCTATCAGCAGCTACAAAGTTCTATGTGGCAGCCACTATCACCACAAAAACGAAAGACAGAGGTAGAGGAGACACAGGTCTGTTTCAGGGCAGACCAAATGTGAAATAAAGACAAGGTTTGGGGGAAGACAGGTGCTATGAAGCAAGCACATGACCGGTATCCAGAATTCTCAGTGCTATACAGACTCCTCACACCGTAATCCGTCTGCTTCCTGACGCTGAGGCTCAAGTCATCAGAAACTGGAAGGTACTGGGGATCTACCTGGTTCCTGCACCAGAACAAAGTAGGATAAGACAACTAGAGGTGAGGCAGGGAACGGGACCACCCTCCCTCATCAGAATTTTATTTGACAGTGGGAATGCAGAGATTAACATTTTCTCAGTGCAGTGGTACTTGGCCTCAGCATGCTGGTGTTCTCCTGATGAATATCAAACACAGAAAAATATTCATCTCCATGGACAGGTTTTCCCTTGATTTGCTTTAATTATGTAACATTTTCTTAAATTGTTGGCATTTGCTACTTCTTGGTTGCGAGCACACATGATGCAGCTGACAAAATGAACAAGTAAAAAGCAACTTTTTCTTGTGTTTAATTTGTTGAAGCTTCTTTTGTTTTGGTGGTCTTGTGAGTATGTTTGTTTTTGTGACTGCCTAACACACACCAGCCTCACCCCCAACATCACTGGTCGTAGGATAGTTAATACCTCCCTGATGGGTGTGTGGTAAAATTCTAGGACAAAGTCAGTTTCTGAGAAGCTTATAATCTGGATGGGGGAGACATATCTTGAATTGTTGGAAAAATATTTAATTTCTAATTCTTTTAAAAGCAAATTAAAGAAATAATACCCATTGGCCAGGTTTTTTTTTTTTTTTTTGCATTTTCTCATGTCACTAACACTAGGGTAAAATAAGCAAGCCAACGGTGAAAACTGCTATCTTAGGTACAAAATAAATGCTCTCTTTTTTTATCAATGGGTGTGAATATGAAACGTGATCATCTGTAAAATAATAAAATAAAATAAAGACAGCTTTGGTTTTTGACAATTTCAGAAAAAGGAACTTTGGTTTTTTATTGCTTTGAAGACTTTCTGTAGTTGACTTTTTTCTTGCTTTGCCATTCACTTTGGATTTGCACTACCTCAGCTCCTCAGACATAAGACAAGGACAGAGAGTCCTTATTTAGAAATCATTTCCTAATTTTACATTTTAAAAGTCAATATTTAAAGAGAAAAACCTTATTAACCGCCCCAATCCCACACCCGCTCCTGAATAATCTAGTTTAATACAAGCCTATAAATAATTTCGTTCGTCAAAAAACACTTAAGTAACTTTACAAGAATTACTGTTTAAAAAATTTACATAGGGAAATTACAGTTCCAGTCATTTTACCCCTGTAACAGATGGACCTCAAGTATTTGAGCATCAATGGTGTTTCCTTAGCACATCACCCTTTAGTTGTTCTGTTAGCATGCTGGTTGAAAGTCTTCTTAATCACTCTTTTCTTCTCCTTGATAATGTCTATACTCTGGCTTCAGCTCCCATGTGTTTTTGTGGGTTCCTTTTACGTTCTGCACACCAATTTCTTTTAAGATTTCCTTTAGGTAGCCCTAAAAACAAAAATCCCCAAGATGAGATTATGAAGGCAAGAAACAAAATTTAAAATAAAACCACACATCAAACTACATTCACAACTAATAAAAATTATGATTTTTGAAAGCACAACAAGATTTCTCTATAAAGAGGTTTAATAAACAGCCTTCTGGTTCTATTTATGCAATACACGATAACTGTGTTAAATGTAAGATCATTTGCATTAAGGGATTGGAAGTCTGGGATGCCAACAACCTGAGAGCTTAAAAAAAAAAAAGAAAAGATGTCTGGATGAAGATACACTAGAATGTTACTAGTCTCGATGTTTACTAAGATGATGCAGTATACCAAATGTAATTTTCCCTCGAGTTCAGTGGCCTCACTCAGTTCACAGCTGGATAGGGTTATTCTTGGATTACAATCAGCACTTCAGAAGCAGTAGCATATATAAAAAAAAATAACAAATATTCAGGCATCCAGAATTCTCAGTTCTAAGTGACTCTTCATATGTGCTACAGGCCACTTATTTTTCCTCCTCTGTGATAAGGAAAGCTATTATTCGTGATTAGTATTGTTTGTATCTTGGCCAAGCTTGCCAAGGCAATGTAAGGCCTACGAAGCGATAATAAGACATGCTAAACGCCCGGGCCTGCAGCTCTCTTGTGCTTGGCTCCTCCAAAGGACAGAGGTAACAATGATGCAGGGCAGAACTCCGTCTTATGTTATTTTAGGTCCCTGAAAATTTAATACACGTTAACCAAATGATTACTATATTCAGGGAATTGGTGGCTGTGATAAATATAATACCAAACGCCACCTTTACATGCCAATGCCCAAGGCCAAAAAACACTCCATTACAAAAGGACCAACCTAAGTTAGAGTACTTGTCTCTTGGAGTAAGAGAGGAAAGTTAATTATTTAAAAGTGTTTTTCTCGCCTGCAGAACCAATCCCATAATATTTTGTGTATATGCTTCAAGGAACCTGCTACAGTATTAGTAACTCACCCTGTGGATAGATGTAATTTTTTTAAAAGTGAAATGATGCACTGATTTGAAAAATGGTTGAGAAGCTCCTACATAGATCATGTTTAAGGCAGTGCCTTTCCGGAGTATGGTCCTGGGCCACTTGCATCAGAACTTTATGGGAAACCTGTTAAAGAAGCCTCATCTTAGGCCTAGTGAATTGCAATCTTTGGGGCCAGGCCTGGGAATCTGCATTTTCACATGCCTCTAGGAGACTGGTTTAACTACACTAAAGCTCCACAATATCTGTGGGAAGGACTCTCCCAGCTCTAACACTTTAGGATCTTGAGTCCTCCAAGTGTTGCTTAGTTCTCTGAGCCTCACAATTGCTGGAGATGTGTTAACTAACATAATCAAACACCACCTTCCACTGACTGGTATAATGTTCTACTGCTTATAAGATCCTTTCACTTAGGGGTAGGTCGTGCCCTAGAAACAGTGGCTGATTAGCACTGGAACTACATACGGCTCTTTACGTGGCCCTGGATGACGTAGCTCTACTACCAGTGTGGCCTTCCCATTCCAGCAGCCAGGCCCCAGCAGGTGGCAGCAATGAATCAAATGAGGCCTGGGTTTCCCCAGGAAGGAGCCTGCTTGCCTCCCACACTTTCTGCAGCTGCCTCCACTGAAGGATCTGTGCGAATGAGTAAGCATAAAGGCTTGAGACATCCAGGTAACATGCACATCTGCTATCTGCTACTTCAAATTACATTTTTAAAAGGAGACACTGTTCATAAACTACTCTCTAATTAGACAGTATTCATAAAGGGAAACTGATGTGCTGGGCATAAATGATTTTCAGCTTAGATGCCAAGGACGACATCTTTGTAAAATTCCAAAGAATGATTTATTGTGATACTAGCTACGAACCTGCACACAAACAATAAGACAAATGTGGACACACTGCAATGGGTCCAAAATGAAGAGAGCAATTGCTAGGAGCGCTACAGTTGTGAGACAGAAGCTTTCCTGATTTAGGATCACAGTATCTAGCCCTGGTACAGAATTCTGTTATGGTGGAAGGTGGGAAAGAGCCTATTTCTGGAGCTTTAGAATGTTCTAAACTACAACCTAAAGCTATTTTACTCTCACCAAATGAATTAACTTGGCCACAACCTATTAGTAAAGAAAGTAACAGTACTGATAGGGGAACACAGGTCACAAGAGTCGCTGAAGGAAAGACACAGGTAGGGAACAGCGAGATCACGTCATTCCTCTGCTGAAAAATTTTCAGTGACTTCCCTTTTGGTCTACAGGTTAAATTCTAAACCCCTTCACAGGCATCCATTCAGGCCTGCCTTTTCCCTTTGGCCTCATCTTCTAAGAATTCCCTGAACACGTACTTACCATTTGTGTGTCTACATGCTTCTAGTTTTCTCCATATGCTGTTTCCTTTCCCCGTCATACTTCCCCCCTTCCCTCAAATCTGAACTCCTCAGCCTTGAAGACTTGGCACCTACCTCTTAGGTTTACATTTCACACTGTATGTACCTCAGTGATCGCCCTCATACCACGTTATAACCCTTTACTTCTAGGTCTCTCTCCCATCAAACCACTAGTGGTGAGAATGAATAGGCAGTGCTTAAGAGTAAACAAGGGAACTATTCGGGTGCCTGGTTAAGCGTCCTACTCTTGATTTGGGCTTGGGTCATGTTCTCATAGTTGGAGAGATCTAGGGATTCTCTCCTTCTCTCTCTGCCCCTCCCTCATGCCCCCCCTCTCTCTCAGGGAGAAAAAAAAAGGAAATAAGGGAACAAGGATTTGGGCAGGGGTGGGGTGTTTGAGGTGAGATCATTTAGAAGGTCCTATGGACTAAAACTATGCTAACTCTACTTCTTTTCATTTTTAGAACTCAGGCTCTAATTAACTTATAGGGTTATGACCAGGTTTGAGAAATACAAGTTGACTGATTAAATTGTATTACCTGAATTTGAATTATATTTATTACTAACCTTTGTATTATAAGATGGGGACAAAGCCATCTGGGGGAAATTTTAAAAGTTCTAACAGGACTGAAGATCAATTGGCAATCTAACTCTCCTTTTATAAAAATTCATACATTTGCACAAGTATTTATTTTAGACCTCCTATGTGACAGGAAGAATGGCAACAGAGTCATTTTCATCCCCAAGAGTTCACAGTTTAAGATTAGGGTATGTGGGGGTGCCTGGGTGGCTCAGTCGGTTAAGCGTCCGACTTCGGCTCAGCTCATGATCTTACAGTCTGTGGGTTCAAGCCCCGCATCAGGCTCTGTGCTGACAGCTCAGAGCCTGGAGCCTGCTTCTGATTCTGTGTCTCCCTCTCTCTCTGCCCCTCCCCTGCTCATGCTCTGTCTCTCTCTGTCGCAAAAATAAATAAAAACATTAAAAAAAAATTAAAAAAAAAAAAGATTAGGGTACGTGAATGGGGACACAAAGGCATAGAAGCAGACAATCGTAAGTTAAAGCATAGTAAGAAGGACATATATACAGGATATTATGGGAGCACTGAGAAGGGCACTCAGCCCAGCTTGAGTCATGATCTTAGGTTTTGAGGATGTGTATTTGATCCTTTGAATTAAATGGCAATTCTGGGCCCAGATCAAAAGATACTAATTCTTCTCCTCTTATACTAAACACTGACTTTCCAATTTAATCTTTTGCCTGATCCCCTTCATTTTAAACAAAGTATTCTAGAACTCAGTAGATCACCTTTATGTCACACAGGATTGGAGAGATTTCTCATTACTGCTATGTGCAGTGCTACAAAACAAGATTTGAAATCAACTGGCTCAGATCTAGAAACTTTTCATCAAAGGGATGTGTGGGAGACTATTTACAGGAAGTCTGAACTGCAGAGAAAAAAGGGATAGAACATTACAGCTTCCTTGGAAGGAAAAGGCAAAGCAAATACTGGACCAAAGAGGTTAGGTGATGGGGCACCTGGGTGGCTCAGTTGGTTAAGCATCGGACTTCAGCTCAGGTCATTATCTTGAGGCCCGTGAGTTCAAGCCCCGTCTGACTCTGTGCTGACAGCTTGGAGCCTCGAGCCTGCTATGGATTCTGTCTCCCTCTTTCTATGCCCTTCCCCCACTTGAGCTCTGTCTCTCAAAAATAAACACTTAAAAGTTTTTTTTTTTTAAAAAGGGGAGGGGGTCAAGTGATTAGGATGTGGTTTGCATATCTGTGGGTCAAGATAACACTGTGGTAGGCCAAAAGACAGAAATCCACAGACCAAATGCCTATTTTCCCCCAAATCAAGACAAACTGATGTGGAGTTGCAAGGCACAGGAGCTTACTATTGCAGTCTCTTTCTCCTTCTGTCCCTCTTCCCACCGCCCCCCCCCCCTTCATTTCTCATATCATCTTTTCCTCTACTGCTCTGCGAACCAATCCCAAACCAGGAATTTCAGTTAAACATTACATATATAATAATAAATTAACTATATCTAAATTTCTAGAAATTGGTCAAGAACATGTATCTTTAACAAAGAGCTGATCACCAAGAATTAATGCTTTAGGTAAGCAAATAATATGACCCTATTAGACTTTTGGTCACAAAATCTTCCCAGAAAGGTTGGAATGAATATCCAATATGCAGTCTATACCAAAGATGGTACTGGTTAATGCAGACAGCCACGGAAAATCATTATATGCTTTTTACAAAGTGATCCAAGGCAAGAGGGACATTATCAGTTCTATGATAATTTCAAAGTATCATTTCAAATGATTTGTGTGATAAATCAGAGGGCTTACTGATGAAGATGTTAGTGGCTCCAAGGCACAAAATTGTTTGATTAAAAAAACACACAACACATTAGGCATAAGCTGTGAATGAAGGCAACATAGGTTTTCCCTCCTTTACATAGAGAAAACTGTAAACAGGATTGGGAAGGTGATGCTGCAAATTCTCTGGGACATGCGCCATGTCAGTATTTTTATCCTCTTTTCCTTCTGGTTTCACCCCACTTTCCTACTAGACACTCCCCTCCCTTGTCTTCCTCTCAGGTCACAC